GGCACTGGTGGCTGGAGTGATGGTTGCCTGCCTGCTCATCCGCGGGCAGCCCCGGTCCAACCCCGTCTTGGGATGATGGCCCTGCAGATCGCAGGGTGCACGCCTAGTCCGTAACCGGTTTGAATTCACATAGCATACTTTGAAAGGGAAAGTGCTGATTTCTATTCAGCTGGGACACACAGATGTGGTATTTGGGGCTTATGGATGTTCTTTAGATGAACATACAGCGTCTGGCACGATGGGAGCTTGGCTTTGGGAGGCACCTTGAGCACAGAGCAGGAGAGGGGCTGCACTGACAGCAGGACCTGTGGGTGCTGCTCCCAGAGCTGGCCTTCCCCTGCCCTCAGGGCTCCCCGAGAGCTGTGGGTGATGCCACTCATGCACTTTCTGAAGGGGATGGTGGGAGGGCAATGTTCAATCGGATGCTTTCCAAAGCCCAGGTTCCCTCCCTGCCACAGCTTCAGCTCCATAAGGTGATAGGGAAAACCAGATCTGTCTGCAAGACTAACTGGGCAGGGAGCTCTGGCCTGTGTTGTGCTGGATGGGATAACCTAAATTTAAAAAAAAAAAAAAAAGTAAGTAAGTCCCTGAATGGAAATACCGTCAGTGCTTTGAATGAAAATCGCCCAAGACTGCCAGGTGGGGGTCGGTGAACCCGATGAGCAGGGTGCAGTAGCAATGCCTGCGAGCTCCATCACTCCCTCCTCCCAAGTTTTCAGTCTTTGAGCCCTTGGTGCTTCTCCCTGGAGGACGGGTGACGTCCTGGCAAGGTCTGAGCATCACAGCCTCGAGTGGGGAGAGGTGACGGGGACCATCCCTGGCTGCCCGGGGTGGTGCCAGGACACAGCGTGGTGACGAACCGGCTCATCCCAGAGGGTGAGGAGGGCTTTTCTGTTTGTTTTAAGTCACCAATCTTCAAAATCTGCCACTCTTTTACCATTCATCTTCAGCAGGGACAGGCAGGGGGAGATTGCTTAAACAGCGGGGAAACTGATAAGCCATAACAGATTTCTTTCTAGTAATTATTTCTAGTAATTAGCTTCTTTTCAGAGGAGTGTTTCTAATCTTGTGTGTATTGTTAGCTGTTGTGGAATGGGTTCTTCCTGGACAATGGTTTTAATCTGCCCACGGACAGGGTTTGTCGCTGCTCCTTGTTTTTTAACATATTTTTTTTTCTCCCCCCCTTTTAATCCCCAGCTGTGTTTTTCCTCCCCTTTTTCCCCAGGCAGTAACTCTAATGGAATTACCGGCGCGGGGCTGGGGGGAGGCGCGCGGTGGGTGCCATGTTGCACTGCAAATTCTGTCGGTGTAATTTGCGTTATCAGATCTTTTGTTTTTGTTGGGATTTTTTTTTTTTTTTTGACCACACTGGTGTGAACTCCCCATGGGCTGGCAGGAGCGTGGGGCGCTGTGCCTCAGCAAAGCACCTGCCTTCCTCCTGGCAGGCGCTGGCAAAACCCGTAGGCAGCGTTGAATCGCCTTTTCTTGGCTTATTTGGGAGCGGGGCCTGTCTTGGGGAGAGAAATGGCAAAACCACGAGTTTACTTAAAAGCGTGGTTTGCTCTGGTGGAGGTGAGATGCTGCCATCGTCCCGGGCACCAAAGCCAAACCCTGCCGCTGCTGGAGCTGGCGGCAACCTCGGGAAAGAGGAGTTTTTATTCTGTCACCTTGTCTCCGAGCCTGGGAGCAAACCTGCCTTTGGGAGGAGAGAGTGCAAACGGTGCGCGGGGGTTTCTCTGCAAAAGGGTGAAGGCAGGTCCTGAGGAGGCTTCATCTGAGCCTGGCACAGCCGGATCCTGCAAGAGAGAACATGCTGGGGAGAGGAGAGAGGTTGGGAAATCACTTATTAAGCAGGGTTGAAGGCAGCGTGGGCAGGCAAGGGGCAGGGGAGAGAGCTGGCGGGGGTGGAAAAGGCAGAAGGGGGATGCCAGGACTCGCAGTGAAGCAATGCCATGAAGAGCTGGAAATACTGAATGCTCCCAGCCAGTTTCTGGATGCACCTTGCTCAAGGTGCCCTCTGCCGTGCTTCACCTTTGCGTGCTAAAATTTGCAGAGGTAAATCCAACAGATAGGATTTCCAAGGGAAACCCCTTTCACATTCAAGGGATTTATTCCCAGTATCTTCTGATTTTTTTATTCCCCCCCCCCCAAGATCCCTTAACACCTGTCTGCAGGATTTCAGTAGTTAGGTCAGGAGCCACATGGCGTTTGGGGAGATTCCTGGTGTTTTCTGCCAAGACCTGCCTCAGTCCTGGTCCTTGCCGTGGTCCTGGGGTTTTGCCACCTTTTCTGGTCGGTGCCCTGGGGCTGTGGCTGCGAAGGGGCGACTCTTGCAAGTCCCAGTGCAACGGGGTTTGCCACATGTGCTGGCTGGCATCTCCCCGGCAGCAGAAACAGCACCTTCTGCTGGCAAGTTCAGCTTTTTCTTGCCCAGCTTGTGGACTTTTTCAATAGGCTAGATGCATTCCGATCCAGAAAAGTTTGCCATTCTTCCTTCTGCCTTGTTTTCCTGGACAATTAAATGTAAAATTTCTACTGCTGAGGTTTTTGCTGCTTTTTCCCCTTTTTATGTGATGAAGAAGAAGGGCGCTGGGGCTGGCTGGGGGGCTGCCCTCCCTTTCCCAATTTCCCCCATCCCGCGAGAGGCCCACTGATCCAAGCGTGCAGCAGATTGCTGGTGCCAGGCGCGCTTGCTGTCCCACGCGAACCGAGCGAGGCATGAAAGACCATCAGGTGAAGGTAGCGGGATTTGGAGCAATACGGTGCAGAGTTGGCACTGGGTTGCCCTTCGCCTTCCTGCGCGCGTGCCAGGAGCCCTGTGGTTCAGCCTCCGAGGTTATCTGGTGACGGCAGAGGCGTTTGGCTTGGCGCTTCACCACTCAAGCCACGCGTGGAAGCGGCAGTATATTATCAGACGGGAGGCCTGGCTGTTGCTGACCAGATAAACTAGCATGGCGTTACCCTGGTTTTCCTCTGGTTTAGGAGTAATTGCGATCCGCCCGATGCCACAACCTGTTGAGTTATTTGTGTAACGTTGCCGGCGCTGTGGCAAATAGAGCTGCTAAGCTCTTTTAAAAATTAGGTCATTTAGGAAATCCGTCCTCTGACATTTTGACCTTTGTTTACTTAACATTTAAGCCTCTGAAACGAAACGGCAGCGGCGCCCAGTGCGTCTGGCTGTCACTGGAGGTGAGGGGTGGCAGGATGCTGGCGTGCCACGCTGTGACCCCCGGCACCGTCGGGAAGTGGGGGGATGTCTCGGCTTTGGGGGTGGTAGTGGGGGAACCCACTCTGAAATTTTGGCTTGACTTCAAGGCCCCCTGGCTAAGGTTGCAAAACCCAGCACCCTCCTCTCTCTTCCCATCTCTCTGCCCTGTGCTTCAGGGGGGCTGGTTTGGGGAAATTTGCTCCCCACCTCTCTTTCTCTGCTCCCCAAAACCTCTTAACCATGTGTGCAGCTGCCTGCCAGCCCAAACGTCGCCCCAGTGCATTAACCTGCATCTTAGCAGGCTTCGGTGATGGCTTTAGGTTAAGCAGATTGGCAAAATCCTCCCCCTCCCAATTTTGCTTACTAAGCCAGACTGGAGGCAGGATGCGATCGCCCCTTTTCGGGGAAGGGCTTTTGCTGGGGGGGGAGGAGGGGGGCTGACAGAGCCCGACGCCTCCTGGCCGTATCACGGGCAGAGTCCCTTGCCCCGGCATGGGGCAGCTGCCGGAGCGGGGTCATCCTGCCCTGGGTTCAAAGCCTTTTTGATCATCATCTGCCGTTTCCCTCTTCCCTCCCCCTTTTCCCTGGTGGCACCGTTAATAGGCTGTAATTAACAGCAGGGAAAAATTCCTCATATATTTTCAGTCCAGTTTTTCCTTTTTTTTTTTTTTAATGAAAAAGTGCCTGTTCCCCACTAGAAAAATGTCTAATTTCACTTTGCAGGGGGGGAACCCCGAAGCAGACTGTTGTGCTGCTGGCTGCCCCAGGCACAGTGTAGAGCTATTCCCTCTCTCCCTGGCCTGGGGTCCTTCCCCGGGGCTGCAACGCTGCCCTGACACCCATGGGTGCTGCTTGCCCAGGGGCCGTGGTTTGCTCCAGGGTGGTGACTGCGAGGGAAGAGACTGCAAGGACATTTCAGAATGGAAACATTTCACCATGTGTGTTGGGTTTCTTCCCTGCTCTCCCCCACCCCACCCTGAAAACACTATTTTCAGCATAGTGTGTGGGCAGGGTGAGGTTGAGCATGTTTGACAAAAGCCATCACTGGGTGCTAGAGTTCACTCGGCAGCACTGGGGCACGTGGGCTCGGCTCACACAGGGCTGCTCCCGCGCAGCATCCCGGTCGGCGGGGATGCTCCGGCTGCAAGGAGCCCCGCAGTCTGGGAGGAGCCTGGCCGGTGGGACCTAACGGAGAGGGCTTGGAAAGGAAGGAAACGCTTTTCTATTGAATGCCTGCTCTTTAGACCTGGATGGGTTTTTGGAAAGTTGAATCTCCACCAGGAAAGGGGAAGAAGGTAATCCCTGCGCCATAAGGAGCAGGAGTGCAGCTCCGCACACTGCTGCTCAGTGTGCACTGGAATTGTGTTTCCTATTGTATGGAAAGCGCCCACAGAGTCCGGTCACTCGTGCCTGGCTTTTGGTTTGCTCTGTCACTGCCTCTGCCAAATTTGGCTGGCTTTTTTTAATACGTCTGGAGGGATTTTTTTGCTCTGGTCTGACACTGCCAGTTTCCATGGCCACAAGCACTTCCCTGCATTGCTGCAGTTTTGGGGTTTTGCTGTTTATGGACCAGCCGAGCCCTGCTGTCCGTGAACTTAAGAGCTCCTGTTTTAGCAACAAGCTATTACGGGAGGCAGTCACCTCTGCAGATGGGTGGAGGAAGCTGCGTTACGAGAGCGGGCTTCTCCCGTCGGCGGGGCGCCCCGGGAGGGCGGGTGCGCGGGGGTGCATATGCAAAACCTCCCCTTCCCTCTTACACACAACCGTGTCTTTTCTTTTCTCCACTGTAGGGAAGAGCAGTGAAAGAGCCTCGTACTCCACATTCGGAAGAGACACAGGGATGCCAGGACTAAACCAGGTAACGATAAAATGCATTGAGATTTTTTGCTTCATTTACTGGCTAAGCTGCTAGGAGCGAGAGCCTGGGAATGAAAAGGAACCTGGTGGTTTGCATCTCGCCTCTCTGCACGAGGTCCTGGAAAGCCTCTGCTCTGCTCAGAAACGTCTGTTGAGTGTCAGGAGTTTATACAAGTGTGTGTTGCTGGCTCAGAAGAGTTGTCAGAGTTTAGAAAATGGGGTTGTAGCAGCTTCTCAGTTCTTTTCAAAACCTCTTCAGACTCACTTATTTTATTGTTGTTAATCCTGTTTCTAACTGATTTGTGTTTAATCAGATATGACCTAGCCAACACTGCCCTCGGAGGGAGTTTCAGTGAGTTGGATCCAAGCAACACCTTTCCTTGTGACAGGGTGGCCATGGGCAGAGGAGTGCTCCAGGAGGCACCTTCTCCCTCCGGCTGCCTGCCTTGGGGCTCTCAAGCACCGTACCTGGTGCTGCATGCTCTCCCTCCCCGACCAGCATCCCCCCTGTGCCCTGGCCAGCATCCCCGTGTCCCCCCCACTCATCAGTTAAGGGGAGGGAGAGTCTGCGAGATGGTTTCTGTGCTGTTGTAGCATCATTTCGATGGATATTGGGCGGTGTTTTGGTTTTATGGTGGTTCTGTCAATGCAGGACCTGCAGCAGATGCTCATCTCCACAGTCAGGGAGGGACATGGCATGGGAGAGCTGCCTCTTGCAGCAACAACCCTGCCCTGTTGGGTCACCCCGTGTGAACCCCGACGGGTGGACCAGGGCTGTGCCGTGGGGAAAAAGTTGCTTCCCGTGGGGAATACCACAGGCGTAAATCAGAGCCCGGGAACGCAGTCGACCAGCCCTGAGATAATCTAGCCTGCTGCCACCGGCATCCAGAAATAGTTTTTCGGGAAGGAGCAAGCACCTCCGCTTTGATGTGTTGCTGCAACTGCCCCGTCAGTGCCCGAGCATGGCCCCGGGGAAACAGTCCCACCATTTTATTCAAGGGAGCAGCTTTTGGCTGGACAGCTTTTTATTTTATACATGTACACACACACATATTACATGTTTTAATTTTACACAAATTTGTCATAATTTCCTCTTCTCTGAACTGAGGATGTTTCCTTTGCTGAAACAGCTGTGCTGGCTGTCTGTGCCAGAGTGGATTTAATTTACCACTGAAGCTGCTAAAATAAAAATGGGACAGGCGCCAAGCCTTGCTTTTTAATGTTACGGTTTTGCTGGGGTTTCATGGAGGAGGGGGAGATATAAGGTAACAGAAACAGGGTGGGCAAATGGTGCTGTGGGCCGGGAGAGGCCCTGGCGCGGGCGCACGGGTCCGGATCGGGTGGCAGAGCAGGAGACGGAGCCCGTTTGATGTGGAGGGGAGACAAAACCCCTCTTGTGCAGGGCGGCGGGAGGCGAGCGGGGCCGTCTGCATGCTCACTGTGGCCCCCAGAACAGTTGTTGCTTCTGGCTCCGGTTTTGGGGGGGAGTTTGACCTGGGTTTTTTCTATTTGAAAAACGCTGGAAAATTGTCCAGTGGCAGATGCCCTGGATGGGGAGCACGTTCCTCCCCAAAACACCCTCCTCCGGGGCAGAGCTGTGGCTCCCCCATCGTATAACCCTTAACCACCTCTGGAGGCATCCCCAGGGAGAGGGAAGGGGAAGAAAATCCCTTTCTCTGGGAAATTGCCTTAAATTCTCAGTGCCTCTCTGGAGGTACCCGCTGGAGGAGCTGGGCAGCAGCAACTCAGCCCTCCAGGATCTCCTCCAGGGTGCTGTGCCACTTGCTTTTCTTGGCCGCGCTGCTCCGTGGCGCGTAGCGGTTTCAGTGCAAAGGTAATATGACCGGTGGAACAGATTGCAGGAATTTCACCAGCTGTGAAT